CTCTTCGCGGGGACTGTCACCGCCGCGGGGTGAGGATGGGGCTCCTCCCCGGAGCGCCCGGTCGCAGGCAGCTAGCCTGGCTCTGGGGTACCTCCCCAGCCCCCGCGGTTGTGTCCTATTGGTTTTTCCGGCACGGGGCCATTTCTGCAGTGCCCGAAACCACGGTGCGGTGTAGACAGCGGGTGCTTACTACCTAGGAGTTGGATCGGGTCGCGTGGAATGCCAGGCACGGGACGGGGCTTGGGGTGGAGGAGGGAGCCAGGCCAGGCAGGCTGGGGCTCTGAGCTCGAGTTTGGGTTTTTGCTCGGGGCTCCGCCGATGAAACCCGCAGGGCTCGATTCGGATGCTGCACGGGCTGGCGTTCCTTGTGTGCGATAGCTGGGAGGGGTTTTGCCTGGTTCCTCCTCCGGAAGAAGGGAGGGCAAACTTTTTTTAGCACTTGGTAAATGACCACGCGGGGTGGTGTTTGAAGCACTGCTTGGGAAATGTAGGTTGGAAGTTGCGGTTGGCCCACCCTTACCTCGGCGAGAAAGTTTCTGGTAGGCTCTGTTCACCTAGGTTCGGACCAAACTTTGCCCTATTTCACCCACTTGAATTTGCAGTATTTTTTTTTTTTTTTAAATCTCGGGAAAATCTGCTTCACTGTTTCTATGGCAACGGTTACTAATTTAATTTGGAAGGGTAGTGCTTGAAAATTAGTGGCTTTAATTCTTCAAGGTTCATTTTTACTTTATAGCACTTGATTCTCTCTCTCTCTCTCTCTCTCTCTCTTTAAATTGTATCTTTATTGATTTCAGAGAGGAAGGGAGAAGGGAGAGAGAGATAGAAACATCAATGATAAGAGAGAATCATTGATTGGCTGCCTCCTGCAGGTCCCCTACTGGATCAAGACCGCAACCTGGGCATGTGCCCTTGACAGGAATTGAACCTGAGACCCTTCAGTCCACAGGTTGATGCTCTACCAACTGAGCCAAACCAGCTAGGGCTCTGTTCCCTTTTAAGATCATTATTCTAGTTTTCCCTCCTTGCCAGTCCCCTTCCACCCTCATCCCCCACTTTGTTTAGGAATGTATTACATGGGGGTTCAGAGTTTTTAGGCTCTCTTTTCCCCAATTTAAGGTGCTATGTAAAATTTGCACATAATTTTTACAGCACCCCACGAACTTGGTAATTGCATGCAATTTACTTTTTTATTTTTCTCCCTTTTTATTGAATTTTTTTTGGGTGACACTGATAAACAAAAGTAAAATTGTACAGGTTTCAGGTGCACAATTCCACAACACATCTGTACACTGTATTGTGTGTTCACCACCCCAAGTCAAGTCTATGTCCATCGCCATCTGTCCCCCCTATGAATGCAATTTAAATTGGAGGTTTGTTTCACATTAACAAACTTTAATCCGTTGCTTTTCTAAAGTTAAAAATATACGTTTTAGTCTAGTTGTAGTGGTTCAGTGGTTGAGCATCAACCCATGAACCAGGAGGTAGGTCACTGGTTCAATTTCCGGTCAGGGCACATGCCCACATGTCCAGGTTGCAGGCTCAGTCCCTGGAAGGAGGTGTGCAGGAGGCAGCTGATAGATGTTTCTCTCTCATCGATGTTTCTATCTCTCTCTCTCTCCTTTCTTCTCTCTGAAATCAACAAAAACATATTTTAAAAAATCCCTAAATGAAAAATAACTAATCATAAAAAAACAAAAGAAAATCTGGAAGCAGGAGAATTTAGAGGAAAAAGAGAAATCAGCAGTAATTGACATTTTCATTTTTTGTAAATTTCTAATCTGTTTTGTTTTAATAAACTAGATAAGATTTTACTATAGCTTTAATGTAAAGCTTTTATTAAATTTTGACTCTTCGTCAGATATAGGGACTACTTGGGAACGGTGAGGATACTTACCATTGGTTACCTAGGGATGGAATTTCTGGTCTTGAAATTGAGCTGATTCTTAAGGAACAGAATCTTTCATCTGATACTATTCAGGTTTGAGAAATAAATATGTGCTAAATAACTCATTTCCCTTTCCTCCCCCGAGAAACATCCTTACTAGTATATTTGTATGTTTTATAGTACTACAGAGTTTTTCCTTGCACAGTTGTTTGCTATATGCGCTGTTTGTCTTATTCTTGCTGGGTGGTTTATTCTGCCTAGTAGTGGGTACATTTCCTCAAATTTTAGATGTAGAACATATAGCAGTGAACATAGTAGAGAAGTGATTCCCTACCATTTCATGAAAGAGGAGTATATTGAATCTGAATGCTTAGTTACACTGTAGCTCTATATTTTCAGATACTCAGTGGTTTTAGTTACTATGGTATTTATGAACTGCTGCTCCATAGAATCTTTAAAATTTATTCTAGATTCTGATAGGTTTGCATGATACTTTACTGTGGCAAGTATTTAAGGAGCAGAATAATGTGTCATCAAACCATTTTGGTGTTGACTTCCTTTTTTTAAAAATATATATCTCCATTCAGTTCCAGTTACTAATTTGGCATCTCTACATGTTAACTCTTTTTTTTTAAAAATATATTTTATTGATTTTTTCCAGAAAGGAAGGGAGAGAGACAGAGAGTCAGAAACATCGATGAGAGAGAAACATCGATCAGCTGCCTCCTGCACACCTCCCACTGGGGATGTGCCTGCAACCCAGGCACATGCCCTTGACGGGAATCGAACCTGGGACCCTTCAGTCCATAGGCCGACGCTCTATCCACTGAGCCAAACTGGTTTCGGCTACATGTTAACTCTTAACAAGTTGAACCCCAGCCCAGCCTGAGTGGCTCAGTGGTTAAGCGTTGACCTATGAACCAGGAGATCAAGGCACATGCCTGGGTTGTGGGCTCGATCTCCAGTGTGAGGCATGCAGGAGGCAGCCAATCAATGATTCTCTCTTATCATTGGTGTTTCCATCTCTCTCTCCCTTTCCCTTCCTCTCTGAAATCAATAAAAATATATTTAAAAAATTATGTACAAAACCCCACAAAAAACCCCAAAACAAGTTGAACATCTTTCATCTCAGCTCTGCTTCTCTGGGGTTTCTCATGCATCTCATCCCATTTCATTGCCCACTAGGGTAACCAGGAGTTATCCCAGAAACCTCATGGTTCCTCAGCCTTCACACCCAAACTATCACCAAATTTTGTCATGCCTGCTTCCTAAATATATATATCAGATCAGTCCGCTAGTCTCCACCTGGCAACGTCTCAGTACCTTCTGCAGTCTCCTTCCTTTCTCTGTTCTATTCAGCGAGCTTTTAGAATGCAAATCAGATCTTTCTCATTGTCCTGAGGACATTTGAAATTCCTGTTATTGACTCCTATCTCATGCTCCCCGAAAGCCTTTTCTAGATGGTCTACTTTTCCTCTCTGCCCACTGGCTTTTCTTTCTTGTACAGGCCTTGGCTATTTGCTGCCAGGCAGACTTTCCTTCCCACTTAATTCCTTTTCTTACATCATTCTGGTCTCTGCTTGAATGCACTTCCTCAGAGAATCCTGACCTGTCACCCCATCTCTTCCCTGATCTAAGTCAGCTTCCCTAGTGAATATCTTAATTTCCTGAGCTTTTCCTTCCATAACACTTAGCAGTTTATAATCTTATTTATGTGATTATTCTATTGTTTACTCCTAAATGTAAGAATTCTATAAGGGTAGGGGTCAAGTATTTTTATTTACTTATATCACACCAACACACCACTGTCTCACCAGCACTAGCTGTAGGTGCTCAAAAAGCACTTGTACAAATTAATGATTTTTACATATATGAAAAAATTAAGGAAATTAAAATCAGAGCACACTGTAGGAAATATATTTTACCCATTCTGACCCAACACATATACACACATATTAAATTGAAGCAAAAATTTCACAAAACAATACTTTGCCAGCTGTGTTGTACTCTTATATTTTCTATTTTGTTCTATATTAAATATAAAAATGTAGATAATAACCCACTAAGTTGGGTAGGACTGCAGACTGAGTTTGCACAGCATAGCTCTAAGACAATATAAGGAAAATGCCTCATTTCTACTAGCCCCTCCTCCTCCTTTGAAACACAATAGCTATATCTCAGTCTTTTCTGATGGAAAGTACAAGGATTAATACCACTCCCTTCCCTATTAAAAGAAAGTTCCTCCTGCTGGTACGTTCCAGCCTGTTCTCAAAGGAGGGTTAGAAAAATCTAAACCTGGCTCTCCCTTAGGTCTTCCAGGCTTCTTTGGGCCACCAGTAGCCAGTACTCTTTCACCCTACTTGGCTGAGCTCATTACAGGTGTGTGGTCAGTCAATGAATTTTAAGGCTGGCCACTCATTAGTTTTGTTTTCTCAATTTGTTACAAACCAAAGGACATTCCTAAAACAAGAGGATCAAGGCAAATCAGTAAGTATTTGTGAATGTGTGAATTAAGGAGCCTGGCTGGGTAAGGGTGTCACAGTTCATGATCACTGGAGCTGATCCCTAGAGCTGTGGTTTTCATTTGTTCACTTACCAGAAGGCGTGGTGCTGTTTGGTCCCACCTTGAAATATTGATCTTTTATCTATTTTGGTAGCTATATATTGGAAGAACTCAAGTGTGTATTTTAACTGAACACTATGCTGTGATATTCATAACTAACAAAAATATTTAAAAGCATTAGATAAGTCCTTCTATGTTTAATGAAAGCAAAGCAGCATACAAAATTGTATACAATGTGTTCTCCCAATTGTGTTTAAACGTGTTTATAAATGTGCATGTTTAGAAAATATACACTGGACTCTTAACTTGGTGGTGGGATTAATAGTAATTTAAATTTGCCTTTATTAAAATTCTTTTGAGAATAAACATTACATTATAATAGGAAAGGCTCAGTTGAAAATACAAATTTCCTATACATTAATATGTATTTGCAAATAGGCAAAATAACACTGTTATTAAAATGTTGGCTAAAGCCCAGGTTTCTATTGGCTGAGTTTTGGAGACTCCTGTCCAGGTGGGATGTACATTCCACGTTCATGATATGTAATATCTTGTACTGTACAGTGATCATCTTTTTC